ATAATTTTATTGTGATGTTTAAATTATGTTTTAAAAAAATTATGAAAAATATAACACCCTATTCGTTAATTAAGTAAAATTAAAATTTACTTCCTTTCATATTTTATTGAGTGGATAAGTTTTCCAGGTCACCAAGCAAAAGCTTACATTCGCTACATTTTATTATTGAGTTATTCGCAATCAACGAGTCGAATATTTAAGTTTTGCTTTATATTATCTAAAAAAAAAATCCTACAGCCTACACGCGTTTATTAGAACAGTCTCAGAGAGAGTTGTAAATTAAAATTGAATAATATTTTATATCCCTCATCGAGTGAAGTGAAAAATTTATCGAGACTTCACGTATCGGACTTTAATCATTTCAACTTGAGGATGAAAATAATTCGCTTCAAAAGCGACGCCAATGGGCCGCGCGAGGCAATTGAAATTAAAAGAAACGCTGCGGCGCCCAGCGCGTTCGATGAATCGAACGGAACGGAATTCGCGTGCCGACGAAAAGCTCCGCGTAAGTTTTTGAAAAACGGACGAGCCTGTGCACGGTGTGTCAAATATGTACTCGTGGCGTAGCCATGAAACACACGCCGGTAGTCTTTTACGCGAGCGTCGCGCTCATAGTCCGTATTGTCCGCTAAAATACGTGCCTCGCAAAATGCGGCGTTAATCCCCGCCCGTTCGGCTCGAGGAAACCTGGCTCACTGCGAAAAATTTCGTCGGAAAGCACAGGTCAAATGCAAGCAAGTACACGCAAACAAAATGTACGTACCGCTCGTACACACGAGACATACGTTTTCGAAAGCCCCCTCGCATTTTTTATGCGAGCGTCAATGCAGGCTCGAATCGACACCACAAAAATAAACAGCCGCGTGTAGTAAAAATAGGAGCTGCTCTCCTTGCTCTCGTTGTTCAACTTCAACCGGAGGATTGCGCTTGACATTTGTATTTGTTAAAAGTATCGAGAATGGAAAGTTGAAAACTTGCCAACGATGATGGATTTCCATGAAATTTTTGCTAACGGCAAATCGGCTTCAAATTTGTCAGCCTGAAGCTGAAAACGATATTCAATAACGACGAGCGCATAGCTTGTGTATAAAATAAATCATATTCATGGCGAGAGCATGCTACAAAATATTCGGCTCAATATTTTTCCATTCCCCAATACGATAACTTCTAACTCACTTTGCGGCCATTCGCGGTCATACACATGTCGCCGCAATAAAATCATCCTCCGCTTCACTTTTCACAGATAAAGTGCTTAATATTTTAATCGCTCGTTTAACGAGTACGGCGATGCCCGTGAGAATATTTCGCGCTTTGCAACGCGTCCAATCAAAATAGTCGATTGGGTTCCCGGGTTGCGAAATAGTCGACCGAATGAATCCGCTTGCGAAACGATTTTATTCGCCGATTTTATGAATAATACTGCACAAACATGTGTAATCCTCGAGCATTAAAAAACGAATGCTTACAATGCGCAATCTATTTAGTAAACTTTTACTTAAAAGGCTTTTTTTATATATAGCTACTTCGTTTACAATTTGTGCATATTGCAACAAATCTTCATTATTTTTACAAACAAACGTAACTAAGTAGTCTTGAATATTATTGCTAAATACATTTAATATAAATATTTTTATCTCCTTTCCTAAATTTGTTTTACACATATAAAATTTTCACGTATTTTTTTTTTTTTTTTATATGTGTTATCCATATTACCATCTCTATGCGATTAGGAACAAAACACGTGACTGCAAAACTGATAAAGTGCACGCGGAAGACTTTTGACCTATTAACGTATTGATAACGGCGTGTTGTTTCTTTCTGGATGGCATGTTTAAGGATAGCATAAAGATAGATGTTTCTAGATACGCGTATGTTGCGCACACAGCACATTAAAGGTTTTTTTTTTTTTCACGTTGCAGCATAATGAACAACAACAGTGTGGAGCAACCGGATCCAGACAATATAAAGATGTTTGTGGGACAGGTACCTCACGATATGGATGAAAATGACTTGAGGACGATGTTTGAAGAGTACGGTCGAGTGCATCAGATAAATATCCTGCGAGATAAAATTACCGGTAGCCATAGAGGTAAGTAATTGAAGTAACTTTTTTTTAAATTTGCGTTGCGCAAACTTCAAACGACCTGCTTGTGTTAAAATTGTGCAATTGTAAATAGTAACGTAACGATAAGGGACATTTTATAATTTTTTTGTGATGTAAACTTTTATACGATAAAAGATAAAAAAGTAAGTTTACTTCTCTTTGCTATTTAAATCAGGTTTTTATTAAACAAAACAAGTTTAATTATGATAAAATATATATTACAATATATTCTTGTTAAAATTTATGTATAAGAATACCTCTCTATATTTTCGTTGCAAATTTATTTAATTAATTATATCTTATAAATATAAAAAATATTATATGATAGTTATTCATTTATAAGAAATTATCTTGTTATTATGATAAATTTTATAATTATTGCGTTGTATTTCATTCTCTCTTTCAAAGTGCTTCTTCACTACTTTTTTTATCCTCGATTTTTCGCGAATGAATCGATAGGAAAAGGTAAACTCACTCAATATTATTTTTCTTCCTTATTGACAAATTGCTCAATCGTGTAATATTTGTATGACAAAATAAAAACAACGTGAAAATCGGCTTACGCGATTATATGCTAAAACTGTCACGATCTTCGGCATCATCGGAGTTGATGGAACGGCACGTGTAAACGAATACACGAATTGTTGTAGAAAGGAAAGGTGGAATCAAGAGAAATGAATGCATTTACAACGTCAAAAAGGTACAACGATGAAAAATTGAGACACGATCGTAAATCGAGATTAATTCCGAATACGATCCAATCTCTACGATATTACGTGGAAATTGCTTGAAAATTGGATGTGTCTCATTCCTCATAAACAAATTGGTGTTTTATTACTTTTCTGTTATTACTTTTGTAATGCTCGCAACGATTCAATTTTATTAATGAGGAATTTTAAAAAGGTTTTTTTTTTTTTAATTTAAAAGATTAATGATTATATTGTAATGTTATGTTTTTAATAACTTAGAAATTGCCTTCCCTCCAATTTATTTTTAAATAATATGTCTAGACGTACAACGTAAAAGGTGGAAGAAAACTTAAAAGTCTCTACCTCTTATATAAATATACGAAAGATTATTTCATCAGTCATTCGGGAAATTATTCCATCCGATGATTATTCCATGGAAGAGTTTTCAAAAATCCGATCTGTCAAATCGAAGATAAATCGAAGATTGTCAGATATACATCTTATCTTCGTCACAGTCTTTTAGTAATTTAAAGGAATTTTCTTGACGAAGCAGACTTTAGAAATCTTCAGCGGATAAGTAGATCTGTATGTAAAATGTACGCGCGATGCACACCATCCGAGCCGGCGGAAGGCGCGAAACGTTAGGATTCTGAGAACTTCCGGAATAATTAATGTGGGTGAATTGTAAACGTCATGCGCACCTGCAAAATTGATGGCGGCAGGCGCGGTACAACTGGGATGAAATTCGTTCCCCATTGTGAAAATTTAACTTGATTACCATGACGTAATGGTGAATTAATGTCCCGCCCGCGGGCCGTTTGTTTAATGCACCGCATTTTAGATTCGAAATCTCTGTCAACGTGAAGTTTCAATTTTACAATAAAATGGACTAATTACCGTTTTTTCCCAATTAACTTTTAGCCGACAATCGTCATATTTAGGCTCTCATCTCCTCATTGTCTTCCAAACACACACACACACACGGCTAAATCACAGTCCATTTTATTTTATTTGGCATCATAAAACAAATCGATTACCACTTTCTTTCAAATTTATCAATGGCAAATGATACGCCCCGTACCTTTAAGCGGTGAATTTACATACGCGTAAATAATACTCGTTATCTGTGTAAATTATACTACTCAAGTAAAATGTACACCGGAGTAATATACTCGACATGGTGAGAGCTTGCTCGTCTGTCGCTGGCCAAACAGCGAGACAGAAAGTAAATTCCACAATGCATCGGGGGTCGGTTTATCTCGCCGGTCGAAATAAAACGTTGAAATTTCCAGAAATTCTATATTAATTAAGCCGCGGAGCCGAGCTTGGCATAAGCTCTACTAAAAATTAACAAAGGGTACCTGTAGAATAGTATGTTTGATTTACGCCAGAATAAATTTAAACTTTAAATTATTCACAGGTATACTCGTAATGTCACATCATGAAAAAAAGCTGCTTCGACCAAGTTGCTTCCATTAATAATTACAATACTATAATTTCTCATTTAATTTTTAGATTTTTTCCCACAAAAACCAGTTTTAATATAAACTTTATCATCTGATAAAATATTTTTAATTAAAGTCAAATGTGGAAAGCATAGAGAACATAATATAATCATATCGTAATGTGACTAAAGGTATTTTTTATACTGGATTTTTAATCAATCAGATTTCTTCTCAGTTAAACGTACATATAAATATAATATGATATTACATTATATAAATTATATAAATATATTTGCTGGTGGTGAACATTCAAGAATTAAATATTGCTTGCAATATATAAACATTTGAAGTAAAATTATCAGCGAAAGTTCTTTCAAAGTAGTCTTTTTGTCCAGTGAAGTGCTTTTTACTTACTTCGCGATTACTTCAGCGAGGAGAAAAAAAAAGGTGTCCTTGATGTTTAAGAAATTTTTAGTTATTTTTAAATATAAAATATCTTATAAACTATTTTGATAATTCTCATATTCAGAACAATTAGAGGAATCATATTATATAACGATAGATATATGATTCCGTTTAAAAAAAAATGATGACTCTCGATAATTTCATTTGCTAATGAATCAATGTTAGAATTATGTGGCTCTCTCGAAATCGTACAATTTTTTTCTCGAAATATTTTTCCCGAAAATGCCTTTACCTTCAGACAGAAATAGATAATTAATTGTGTATCAATTAACTTGAAACACTTTATATATTGTATTTAATTTTTGAAAATTATTTCTTTAAATTTGTAATTTATTACGATGATAATGACTATCGAGGGTCTCCTATTGCAATATGCATATTAAGGTGAGAGTTAATCTCGTGACAAAGTAACTTCACGTGCATTAATGTAATTAATCCAGGTGTATTATCATATTAATTCGGGTACCCCATCCTCCACTCTCGAAATATGAGATTTGTTGTGCGAAAACGGATTTAAACGGTGAAGTCATGTACTTCGAAATCAATACTCGCTAAAGCGTAGTAATCCACGGAATGTCCAATTTGGTGGGTCAATAGGAGACAGCGAACCCGCGGCAAATTCCTTTTATACCCGATTAAAACAAGTGCGAGACGGTGTTTCGCAATGAAGACCTTCGAGATTGCCATCGTAGCCGATATATCGGAATCCCAAAAGTGTCCGACCGCGCCGCCTCTTGTCGCAAAGTAGCGGAATTCAATACTCCGCTACTTTGTGAGACACGGTACAGGAAACGACGAGGACAAGGCAATAGGATTCTTTGCGAACAGGGAGGAGGAAGAGGAGGAGCCCCGCTGTCTCTCCCGTCGTACAATTTTCCGCGTGGAATTTCGTTGTTCCGCCCGACGAAAAGACGTCGGGAAATGTGTTTTAGTTAAATTAACAGAGCTCTCGCGCGCGCGCGCGCGCGCGCGCGCGTGTGCAACGTTTCCCTGTGTCGATTGCGAAATTCCTCTTCGACAAGCTTCTTCGTTACTCTCTCGTCTCTGTGTGAGTAAATATGTTGTACGGTATCGTTGCGAGGGGCGCGTTTGTCTCTTGCGCATCCTCGCTCGAAAATCTTCTCGCACGCCCGCGGAATAGCATTCTGCGCGCGAATCGCTCCGGAGAATTTGTTTGTCCTTAAACGGAAACGCGAATCGACCTACCCGCCGCTCGTTACAGAAGTACGCTCTACTATTAATCACGCGGCCCTATTAATCGTCGTTAAGTCGCGCCACCCGCCGTGTTCGGTGTCACCTTGCTCTTTCACGTCGAAGAAAGCCGAACTTTGTCGAGCTGTCTTTCTAGGGTCCGCTAGAAAGATCGGCTCCACTATTTGTCAATCACGATGTAGCATCTGGAAACGGATCGACAAGATCGATATCTTCCTCGAAGTACCCTGTACCAAGTAACTTTAACACACTTCGTTCACCGTAATTGATTTCCCAAAATACATTTGGTAAATTGACACGCACGTTGTTTGTCTCGCTTTAACGTCAGACACACACACGTGTCTCTTTACTTTTTAATTCTTTAATAGTCATTTCATCTATACTTTTTATTAATAATAATGATGAGATACGGAGTAGGCAGAAATAGAAAGTAATTTATTCGCGTCCACAATTTTAAAAGTTGAAGCTTGAATTTTGCAAGATAAATCTCTTTATTTTTTTTTTTTGCGGAAAACGCGTTTTTAAAATATTTCGAATGATATTCGAATGTCGTAATCCCTTATTTTCCGCGTAATGGTTATTTTCTCGCGTCTCTTTGTCTCTTCAAACTTCCGCTTTTTCAAAAGCTACCGAAAAATCGTGAAGAATACCGAAGTCATCGTACACCGTGCACTTCAGGATTACGGGAGAAACTTTAAACGAAACTCTGGCGCGGAAGTATCGCAAAGCTGCTTCCGAGCGAGCTTGTGTTCCGAACATGAGCAAGCTAGATTCAAGATAGTTCTTGGCTTTTTTTTTTTTTTACGAGAGAGTAACGGACTTTTCAAAGACAGATAAATTTTTCGAGTCCCATAACGGCACCATTGAGCTGATAACTGAGTATGTCGTGTATATCACGAGTCAAAAAGCTTTAGATGCATAAAGATTTCAGATTTCAGCGCAAAAATGTTACATAATTCTTATAAAAATGTTAAAAAAGAATTATCTTCTATCTAGCTAACAACAAATATGAAATTATTTTAGAGATGATATACATTTAAATCAAGTTTAATCGCACATGTGTGGTAAATGAAAAATGATTTCGATCAAGTCGACAATATTGTAGTAATTTTATCTATAATAATATATAAACAGTTTAAATTGACATCTAATGTTAAATTTACTATGTATGTCT